TCATTTCCCACCCCTGCCCCCTGTCAGCCCCAGCTGGGCCTGTGGCGGGAGGGTGGGTCCTCCTGGTGCTGGTGAAGGCAGAGGCTTGGCAGGTCGTGTGTAGCCAAGTGCAGACAGGTGGGCACCTCAGGTCCAAAAAATGGTTCCGTTCCTGCCCACAGCCACATGCCCAGCATCTGTTTGTTACCCAGCAGCCCAATACCAGCCAGGGGAAGAGGCTACCAGGCTGGCAGCTCCACAAATATTTAGTCAAATTGGCCGGAAAACAGGTTTTATTCAAAGCCAGCTTTGAAGAAAAATAGGAGAAACTAAAAAAATTCCATCTTGAAGGCTCTGCTGCGGGGGAGCAAAGCTTTTTAAAGAGAAAAAGTGGCAAAGGGAGACAAAAGGAAATGTACATCTGCATATTTAGTCCCCCGTGCTATGCAGGAGGCCAAGGGACAAGCTCCGCTCTCAGTGCTCTTGAGCCTGTCACCCTTTGCTGCAGCATGAGGAGCTTGCTCCCAGATTTAGAGGCCCCAGCTTCAGAGTGTCCCATGTTGGGCCTTTGCTAATTCCTACCAGGTTAAAGGTCAGATCCTGGTGCAGCACGTCTCTCATCTCACCCGCTTGTTCACAAATGTGCATCGAGCACCCCTCTGTGACGTTACCAGGCCCTCCCCACCAAGGCTGCTCCAGCCCTCAATCCTCTTCTTCCTGAAGCAGATTTGCCTTTGGACAATGGTTTGTCCTCATTTGATCACTTTTTGTTACCGGGTATTGAACCCAGGGATGCCACCCCTCAACCTTTTGGTTTTTTTGCTTGAAGATAGGGTCTCACTAAGTTGCTAAGGCTGGCCTGGAACTTGTGACCTTCCTGCCTCAGTCTCCCAAGTCCAGGGATTATAGGCGGGTGCCCCCATGCCCTGTTCATACTTTATCACTCTGAAGTAGCTTGGAGCTACTGATTCCCAAGAGATGGAACTACAGAATTCCCAAGTCTTAGAAGTGCACCCCTCACCCCACCATCAATTCTCGAATCTCCAAGGAGCCTGAGGTTATATCTCAGGAGCAGCTCTCTCCTGTCACAGAGGAGCCACAAAATGACCAAGGTCAGACAGAGGTCAGAACAAGCTTGGGGTTCCTGCCTCGTCCCAGGCTCCTTCTGCAGCATCAGCACGAAGCATCTTTTCTCCAAGAGGGCAGCTTTGGAGGCCAAGGAGGAAGGGACCTTTCAAGGCAGGGGGCTGTCCCTAACCAGGGCAGCCCATGGCAAATTGGTGGGAAGTTGTGTTGGGAGCCTGGTGCTCGGGGTAACTGGCTTTGCACCCATAGGCTGCCCCCACTGGGCTGGAGCCTCTGAGGCTCCCTGTGGAGGGAGAGCCCCAGGGCAGGGGTGAGCCTGCAGAGGGTGGAGCTGGGAAAGACTGAAGAGAAGAAGGAAGGAATTTGGTTATAGAGAATGGCGGGGAATAGAAAATGAGCGGCTGATCTCATTCAGCAGGGACCTGCCAGCTGCCACCTGGCACCCACCCCCAGGTTATATGCCCCCAGGAGGCACCGCCCCCGCAGACCTAGAGGAGTACTCAGCCCTGTAGTCACATCTGCATAGCTGGGAGAGAAGGCAGGCCTTTCCAACTCCAACATTCTTTGGGCAGAAAGATGTGTTCACGCCCGTCTTTCTGAGCCCATTCCGGGTAATTTTTCTCAATTTCCCCTGTAATTTATTAAAAGCCCACCTCAAAGGCCAGCTGGTGAGTCAGGCCCGGGGAACAGCTGGTGGAGGGTGAGCAGTGGGCAGGGTGGGGGTGGGTGAGGCCCGCCCAGGGTGGGGCTGCTGCTCAGAGCCGCCCTTTCAAACCCAAGCCTCGGGCCAGCAGCCTAACCTAGGAGAGTGAAGTGACGGTGGTGACGTTAATTTCACAACCCCAAACTTGTATGCCAGGGTCTGGGCCAGAAGCTTTTCCTGAAAGTTTTATTGATTGTTCTGGGTAAAATGATTATTCCTGTCACCTTCCTGTGCGCCCTGAGGTGAACAGTTGAGCCAGAGGCTCCACAGCTCCGAACCTGGAATCAGCAGAAGGTCTGCCAGCCCCGGAGCTGCTCCGACAGCCCCTCCCCTGCCACCAGGCTTTCCATTGCAAACCCTCTCACACCTGCACCTCAAGCCTGGGTACCCGGCACATTTGCCCTCAGGGGAAACGGGCTGAGTGGTCCAGGGACACCACAAGCTCACTGGGCTCACTAGGAGTCACCGAGGCCACTTGCACAGCTCCTTGCAGCTGTGTGCCTTTGCTGACCTTGTCAGTTCCGACCCCAGGTCGCAGCCACAGGGATGATCACTGTGCAGGTGAGCAGCAAGGCTCAGAGGAACTCGGTGGCCTCTGTGGAGCCCCACGGCTGTGAGAGCCAGAAATCGCACCCGAAGTCTGGGCGTACTCCCTGTCCTCCTGCCCGGCAGCCTCCCACACCACTGAACACTGTCCATTTGCCCAAGCCAGGGGTGTGGGCAGGAGGCAAGGGCCACACTGGGACTGGCAGCTGGTGCACCCTCCCTGGGGGTCCAACTGGTCCCTGATCTGGCAACTATGGGAACGCCCTGGCTTCCTCCTCCTCCCTCACCATTTCCCTTTCCTTCCTCCTTCTAGTCCCCCGTGTTCATCGCCCAAGTTAGCCGAGACCTGGTCTCCCAGACGGAGGCGAAACTCCTGCAGAGGCCCGGCAAAGAACTCTTTTCTGCCTGTGCTCAGTAAGTGCTCCACCCCTCTCACCTACCTGGGCAGGCCCACCTTTTTCCCTGGGCTGAGGCATTAGGATACCCGGAAAGGTGAGCCCTCCACCAGTAGCCCAGCTCCAGAGCAGGTCTTCAGAGCCCAAGAGCTCCAGCCAGGCCACCCAATGGCTTATGCATAGGAGTCGCCCAGATCTGCAGTTTATGTCCCACAGTTTTAGTGACCCATTGGCAAGTCTGGTCTAAAAATTTTAAATGGAAAATTCCAGAAATAAATAACTTGTAAATTTCAAATCACTTTTATTATGGTATAGTGTTATAATTGTTCTATCTTATCGTTAGTTATTATTGTTAACCTCTTACTATGTCCGATTTATGAGTTAAACTTTATCACGGGTAGGTATATATGGGGAAATCAGAGTACACACACAGTTTGACACTGTCGGAGGTCCCAGCATCCACTGGAGCTGTCGAAACAAGTCCTCTGTGGATAAGTGGATGGCTACACTTTTCACGAAGGGAATGAGATACCGGGGTACCAAGTCCAAAGAAAATATCTGCTACAAAGATGAAAACAAGTGTCCCTCTAGGCTATTGGGACAGAGGAATGTGCAAAAATTGACCCTGCTTCTGTGGCTTGGAAATCCTTCCAACCCCCAACCCCCACTCTGCCACCAGTCAAGTCAGTTGCGGCGGATGCAGGGTGGGCCGCGGGAGCCTTCCCAGCCCCCAGCCCCTTGTCTGTAGCCCCTACGTCTACCCCAGGGGGAGCGAGACCAGTCAGTGGCACCACCTACGCCCACATCTCATCCTGCACAGCACCTTCCAAAGGCGTGTGCACCTAGCACTGCACATGTATGTACACACACATGCACCACTGCCTGTGAGCTGACACGGCACACGGAAACCTGTACCCACTAGGACCTGGCTAGAGCCAGCTCACCCCACACAGCTGCTTGGGCCTGGGGTATTTTCGTGGGCTCTTATTCAGCACCCAGGTATTAAGCACTGCTGTGTCCCCACATGCGAGGTACCGGGGGGTTTCCAAAGTGAGCAAGGACTCCCTGCTGGCCCTGGTGCAGCTTGAACAACAAAACCAGCTACTTGGGTGCCCTGAGCCAGGGAAGAGCTGGAAGAGCAATGGTGTGATGGTGAAGGCGGGTGTTCAGGAGACCCCCCCCCAACCTGATCCAGTGCAGCAGAAGGATGTCAGGCTCACCTGCTGGCTGCTCTGTAGAAGCTGTTGAGGGTCTAACACTGGGCAGGGGCACAGCTAGTGACCCTGACTCTGACCTCGAGGGAAGAGCCATCCTGGCCTCCCATGCTGGCCCATGTTCAAGTTTGGCATGTCCTCACCCTTTCATGGTTCCAAGTACCTGGCTGGATCGGTTAGCATGCTGGGTTGCTTTTTGTGTGCGTGTGTGCGTACCAGGGTTGAACCTAAGGGTGCTTAACCACTGAGCCACATCCCCAGCTCATTTTTAATGTTTTCTTTTGAGACAGGGTCTCACTAAGTTGCTTAGGGCCTCACTAAGTTGTTGAGGCTAGCTTTGAACTTGTGATCTTCCTGCCTCATCTTCCTGAGCCATTGGCATTACAGGTGTGTAACACCTTACACAACAGGCCCACTTTTTAAGAGGAGAAGCCCACCCCTGTCTGCAGCCAAGTTTGAACCCTGCCAGGCCCCCTTAGGCCTTGCCTAAGATATAGAGGAGTCCTAGTCTCCCAGAGCCTGTCCTGGCACCTGGCCCACAGCAGGTTACCAGTAAATTCTACTGCACTCATGGAAAGCTCATAGTGACTTCACTGGTCCTAGACCAATTCCAAATCCCTCAGGGACTGAGCCCCACTCTGCACCCCCACCCCACCTCTTAGTCCCAGCCCCTCCCTGCACCTCAGTAATTCTGCCTCTGTCCTCACCTCAGCTCACAGATCCCTTTTTCAGAGAGATTTCCCCTAATTGGCAATGACATCAACTCTGAGATTGCTGGTTTAATGCTCGTGACTTACTGTTTGTGTCCCTAATCACAATGCCCATCCCATGCTCCTGGCATATCCTAGGACCTAAAACAGTGCCCAGTGCCTGGCAGACACCAACCCATGTTTGCAGGATCATCCAGTTTCAGCAAAATGACAAGACCTTTGGCCAGATGCCTGACTCCATGGTTTGCATTTGTTACGCTGCAGGTACAGCCCCGCCTGGCTGCTTCAAGCCTGCGATTATAACATGCCCATCCTTCTGTCTCTCTGAGCTAGGTCTGTGCATGACTACCTGAGTGGAGAGCCATTCCACGAATATCTGGACAGCATGTATTTTGATCGCTTTCTCCAGTGGAAATGGTTGGAGAGGTGAGTCCCCCACACTCTGTGCATGAGAGGAGTGAGTGGGAGCAGCGGGCTCAGGATTCCATCTGAGGATTCATATAAAAGCTGGCTACCCCCGTGGCCCATGGGTACAATAAAATTAGCTATCCTCCTCTCATTAATTAAGTTCTTGGGGATTCTAGAAACGCCCTGTGCTTATTAATGTGTGCATTAGACGTGCGCACATGCACACATGCACACACACACACACTCAACACCTTGTTCTTGCTTCTCTGGCTCACTCTCTTTGGGAATTCTTTCTTTGCTAGCAAATTAGAGCTACCAGAGTCTTTGAAGTAGTTGCACACTCTTTGTTTTGCCCAGTGCCCTTAATAGACACTGAGGCTGTTCTCAAGTTTTTATGCAACCTTCCCCGAAATAATGAATAGCTTTGAACATAAATCTTTATGTACTTTTGCAAGTACAGCCATAGAAATTCCTAGCGGGAGTTTCTGAGTCAAAAGTCACCTGATTGCAAACTGTGAGGGATGGTGAAATTGCCCTTTGAAACAGCCGCCCCCGATTTCCAGTTGCTCCCGAGCTCACGCCTGCTCCTCCCCAGCGTCCTCAGCACTGTGCCTGCTCCCCTCGTGAGTGAGGGGCTTCTTTCTTTAGTTTTCCATCTCCCTAATGAGATGAGACAAGGAGTCTCTTAATGGTTTATTTGATGTCTCATTCTCTTCAAAGTGCTTTCATATGCATGGCTGTCACTTGGGCAGATGTGGCCTCACTGTGACTGATAAGGAAGGAGAGACATAGAGGGGACCTGATTTGCCTTATCTCTCAGCAAGCCAGTAGTGCAGCCAAGGGGCAACCCTGGCCCAGGACCCCCAGCCCATTGCCCAGCTATCTACAGTGTTCCAGGATTTGGAGAAAGGAGTGATAGCTACGTTAAATCCATGCTGAGCTAAGCTGGCAGGTGAGGTGGGAGTGTCCCCTTCCACAGCCCCCGCAGAAGCTCAGAAGCTGCAAGACAGAAGCCCCTTCAAAGCCCAGCACACTTCAGGAAGCCCAGCAGGAACGTGCCCTTTGTGCAGCTGGGTGGGCCATTCTCTCCACCCTGACCAGTGGGGATGACCGAGAGACCAGAGGTAGCCTTCTCTGTTGACCCGATGACACCACTGGCCACCCTGCACATGTACCCAACTCAGTCTGAGTCCTGCTTCTGACTCTCTTCCCAAGGAGCCTTGGCAAGGCTGGGTTACTTTTTCATACCTCAATTTCCTCACTGGTAAAATGGGGACAATAATGCCTGCCTCCTAGTCTTGGGGTGAGGGTGAGATAAGAGGAGTTTAGCATGTGCTAGATCCTCAACAGGCTAATCCTCAACAGAAGTCAGCCATTAGCTGTAGGAGGGATACCACTGGGCACAGTTGCAGTCATGACCGGACCACAGCCCTCAGTTCTCCGTGTCTGATTCTGCAGCCGCAGCCCACCTGAGGCTCACAGGACAGGCTGATGGGGTGCACACTCATCCTGCCCTTCCTGGAGCCCTGGGCTGGGTAACACATGGCCCTCTGCCCCAACCCTCCCAGGTGCCAGTGCAGGTTGGAACGAGGCTCTGCAGATGCCTGCCTACACCCCTGTGCCAGCCCCACCACTTACCAGCCAGACCTTAGGCATCCCATTCCCCCTCTCAATGCCTAAGTGTCGTCCTCTGTAGAACAGGGACAGCAGCACCTCTTGGGGTTAGCATAAGACTGACATAAGCCCACGTGCAGGATGCAGCACTCAGCAAGCATTGTCACCCTGGGAACCCCAGAAGTTAAGCACTCACTCTGGAAGGCATTACATTTCCAAACTCATGAAGCAGGATCCCGGCTTAATGACTGACAGCACCCTGCCTTCCCCTCATTTTTTTTCTAAACAAGATCCTGGCCTGTTGGTGCTGTACTGTTGAAATATTAAAGGGATTTTTTTTCCTCCCAAGGTTAACCAAGAAATTCCTGGGAAATTGTATTACACTTATTTCCCCCTCGCAGAGGAGCTCTGCGGTAGCGCTGACCGGCTGTTTGTTCTCCATGTATCATAAACTGCTAGGCCTCGGCCACCTTCATGTGGTTTTGGGGGCTGTTCTAGGAAAGGCTCCCAGGGCCATGTGGCGGATGCGGGCACATGGCAGGTTTTCACCAAGGCTGCCCAGGCTGCTCTTGTGTGGAAGAAGAAGCACGGCCGAGGGAACATCTCTGTGCTTCCAGTAGGGACCTGCCCCGCTTCCTGCGGAACCACCAGCGAACAGAGAAGGGAGGTACAGCACGTGCCTTGGAGGCAAGGAGCAGGGCGCCTGGTTTTCAGAGTTGATCCAAGAAAGGAACTGCACTGCCGAGGACGTGGTTTCCAGTGAAATCCAAACCCTCTTCAGGCCCCAGCAGCAAGAAGGGTTTCCATGCAGGATAGGGTTTCTCAAATCGTGCCTCATGCTGGGCCACCAGCTCGCTTGGCCTTCTCCTGCTGACCCAGTTCTTTGGCCCAATTCAGTGTCACTCCAACCTCTGCCCTGGTCAGGACTCCTGGGGAGCAGGGCACTCAAAAATAGTCCTGGGAATCCAAGAGCCAGTTTTAACATTTTAAGCTAATTAGTTGTACCCAAAAGACCAGGAAAGAAAAGTAAGCTCCCAGCACCGTGGAGTCCTTAGCTGCGACTGCATGACCCTCTATTGGTTACTCCTCGAAGTACTATCCTTGTGACCAAAAGTCCTGCCTGAGTAGATGTTCTAAGTGGCTTTGCTAATGAAAACAGGGAGTCGGGGGACACAAAGTGGAGATTACTTCATAAATACGGCGTTGGACGTTCAGGGTCTGCACGGTTCCTGGATCAATGGGGAAAATAGGATAAAGGGTACCTAGTGGTGGAGGGTTGGGGACTGACTGTCCGAGAGTCCCAGGAGCAGACCTGAAGCCAGTAGCCTTGCCCCTCGTGAGGCTGGGTCTCTGGTTCCTGCAAGGAGCCAGGGCAGAAAGCGTGGTCCCTCCTGGGAGGGTGAGGCCTGCAGGCCTGGGAGGCCAGGGCCTCCTTTCTGTCATTCTGTCTCCTCGGAGGGGCTCCTCTTGGCTCCCAGTCCCTTCCTGCTCCCTGCACAGGGCTCCCCGCTTCCTCCTGAGTATGGCTGCAGGCTCTGCATTTTGGTTCCCTCATCTGTTTCTTATGGATCCTGACTCCTACCTCCAGAGACCAACCTGGGGTTCTTGCTTCTTTTCCAGGCAACCAGTGACCAAAAACACGTTCAGGCAGTATCGAGTCCTCGGGAAAGGGGGCTTCGGGGAGGTGAGTGCACACCCACGCTCTCTACTGAGGTTCAGCTCAGGTTCCACTCACCTTTCCTGTCCCTCCTGGATGGGCCTGAAGTTCTAAGCAGGGCTTAGGGCAGGGACCGCTCTGCCCTGGGTCCCCTGGTGGCAGTGAGGGAGGGTGGAGGATCCAGGCCTCGGGGTACACGACGTGTGTGAGGTGGGAAGGAGGGTGGGGAGCGGGCCTCCCTGGAGAGGCAGGGAGGTGGGGGCCGCTCAGCCTCTGCCTGTCTGGATGATGCCTGGCTATGCGCGGTCCTGTGGGAATACAGATCTCGCTGGGCGTTATGTGACCCAGTGTGTGTGAGGCCAGCCTTGTTACTTCCATTTTTGAGATGAGGAAAGCTGAGGTTCAGAATAGTTGGGTGACCTGGCCAAGCTCACACAGCCAGTCAGGGGCAGAACTAAGACTAGAAACCCAATGCCCCATTCCCAGATCTGAATGATGAAGTCAGGGTTCTCAAGGGTCTCCCTTCACTGTCCCCCAAAACCAACCTTCCCCACCAGTGGCTGGCAGAAGAAAACCCAGTTGCCTCTAAGACAAGGGCAGCATTTGAAGCTTCTGCCAATCATCTAACTGGTGTGTGCAGGGCCGATTTTGTTTCCTTGAGGACCGGGATCTTCCTAAGCAGTCAAAGGGGATAGCAAGGGGCCCTGAGGCCAGGTCACAAGGGCAGAGCCCAGGACCGCAGTGGGTACAGCCAGGTGTACTGTGGGTCCTGTGGGCCTGCAGCACCCACAGGAAGCCCAGCTGGCTCGGGTCTGTCCGTTGCAGCCCTGCCGTGGAGGGGCCTAGGCAGACCACAGTGCCCATGACCTGGGCGTCTCTCTTGCACCTCAGGTCTGTGCCTGCCAGGTTCGGGCCACAGGCAAAATGTATGCCTGCAAGCGCTTGGAGAAGAAGAGGATCAAAAAGAGGAAAGGCGAGTCCATGGCACTCAATGAGAAGCAGATTCTCGAGAAGGTCAACAGCCAGTTCGTGGTGAGTGTCCAGGGCCCAACAACAGCCACATGTTTCCGGTAACCCAGAACCCCGTCACCTAAAAGTGGGTGGTATTCCCGTGTGGCAGGTCCCACCCCCAGGGAAGTAAGAAAGCTGTAGGTCAGTCGTGGTTGATTTTGTCCTGTCACCAGCCCTGCCTGCCCAGGCCTGGACACCCTCTGCATGTGAGCCTGAGACTTCTATTCCCCAGGACCACCTTGTAAACTCCTTAGTGAACAAAATAAGTTCACCTCAGGCTCAATCAAAAGGAGCTTTGGGTCCTATAGACCCTCTAGACTGGTTTCATCATGGTGGAGGCCATCGTGGTGGAGTTTCTTAGGGAGACACCATTTTGTTTTGTGTATCATGTTAGTTGGTCTAGGCTAGGCTTTGCTGCAGTGACAAATTAGCTCCAACTCTTAGTAGCTGAAAACAATAAGTAATCTTGTCAACCACATCAAGTCCAGTCAGATCAGGCCACTCTCTGCCATCTCATCTACTCCATCTGAAGCTTGGAGGGAGTGCTGCAGGTAGATCTCCCCAGGAAATTTTTAGTGCTCAACTGGACTGACATTCCACATGAATTAGTCGCCTCAAGGGACAAGCTAGCTGTAGAGGAGGCTGGGAAGTTTGGAGGAATACATTGATACTTGGCCTCTGTAACATGTTATTAAAAACTAATACATGTACAAGGTAATAATGCAATCAGCACAGAAGGGTACACAATAAAAATAAATGCCTCCCTCTTTGAGAGATCATTCCAGACATGTTTTATTCATATACAGGCTTTATTATTTTTAACTAACAGCGTCTCCCCATACATCTTTCTAAAATTTTTTTTGTTGTAGAGGGACACAATTTTTCCAATACCTTTATTTATTTTTATGCGATGCTGAGGATCAAACCCAATGCCTTATACATGCTAGGCAAGTGCTCTTCCACTGAGCTATGTCCCCAGCCCCCTTCTCATACACCTTATGGTACGTTTTCCCCTTAAATTGTAGCACATCCCCCTTTATCCACACCTATAGTTCACCCCATTTTCCAAAATTTTTCCTCATTGCTCAGAAAAGATAAACCATGAACTGTACGGAAATCACTTCTCGTTTTAAACCACCGCAAACAATGCTGCAGGGTCCGTCTTTGAACACTCCTTTGGTGGGTTCTGGGTGGACACCTGTGAACGTCCCCGTAGACAACAGTTCCTGGTGAAGAATTGCCATAGCAGAGGGTATGCAGGTTTTTCATTTGATGGCTGTTCCCAAATGGCTGTCTGTGAAGCTTGTCCCCGTTAAACTCCCGCCAACTGTGAGAGGAGAGACCACATCAGCCCAGTGCCTTGGTCATCCCTCACAGGAAAGTGGTTTTATAAAGTGATAGTCAAAGGGGACAGAAGTTTGGGTCTCTGAGTCTCATCTCTGGTTGCCCTCAACCGCCAGCCTTGTCCAGGGGGAAGAGGTGGGCAGTGCCATGGCACCTCCCAGGAGGAGGTGGATAACCAACACCTGCCAGTTTGGGCCTAGGCCTCTTTGACTACTGATTGCCCCCTCGATGCTGCCCATGGAGGGGTGATGCTGGGGGGTCCACTTCCAGGAAAAGGACCCTGTGCCTGGCAAACCCGGGCTGACACCTCTTCACCTCTTCACGGGCCATTAGTTTTGATGGCTAGACCTTCCTTGACTGTGTCTCATTCACTGTGCCCGCAGGGAGTTCCACTGTGACACTTTTTATTATTCAGCTTTCCATCACCAAAGTGAAATTCCTGAGGCACTTAAATTTACTCTGGCTCACAGTTCCGAAGGTTCTGGTCTAAGATGAGGTTGTCCCATTGCTTTTGGTCTCTGGTGGGAGCTCATGGTGAAGACAACCACCCAGGAAACAGGGAGTCAGGGGTCCCACTGCACCCTTCAGGGCCTACCCCCAGGGATCTAAGGGCTTCAGCTAGACCCTTCCTCCTGAAGGTCCCACTGCCTCCCAGTAGCGCCACCCTGTGAACCAAGCCGCAAACACATGATCCTTTGAGGACGCTCACGCAAACCATAGCCCTGCTGCGGGAGCCCTTCCTCGGGACTACCTGGGCAGGTTTGAGTTGTACCTGCAGCAGTCGGTGGCAGGAACACGACCCTACAAGATTGCTCTCCCCTCGCTGCCATTTTGTCACCTTTCCTCAGAAACGAATGACGTTCCCTCCAAGTTCTATGGCCCAGCCTCTCCCTGGCGCGGTCTGCAGGGCTCAGATTTTATTCGTGCAAACTCTCTAAGTGGAGAAGAAGGAATTCCACCCGTTGTAATTTGCAATCAACCCTAACACTGCCCACCTCTCCAGTTACCCCATGGCCCCAATCCATAGTGCCTTGGGTGTCTGGAATCCACCTCTCCTAGAGGCTCCCTTGGCAGGTGGACATGGCATGTCTTGCTTGCAAGAAAAAGTTTGGCCAGGCTGTCTTCCACTCCCCAAAGCCCTACTGGCCACTTCCTAGCCATTCACCCCTGAGATAATGGGTCCCCACAACCCACAGGGCAGCCAAGTCTCACCTTCCTGACCAACCAACAAGACAACACCAGTTCTAACCAACTAATGAATGCAGGTGCTTTTGTGGTGGGAAAGCACAGACACCATTCTGGGGTAGGAATCCAGGAAGGTCACGGTGCTGGCCTACCTCTCCCCCCCCCCGCCCCGTGTCCCCTTCACCTTGAACCACTTAGGAGGAGTCAAGTTTAAGTCCTTCATCAGCCAAGAGGGGAAGCAGATAAGGTAACCAAGAGGGTCTCAGGGTGCAGATAGCCTCCACCACCTGCCTCCAGCTTCAAGGAACCTGAGAAGGGAGACGGAAGTGGGTGGTGATTGCCATGAGCTCACCAAGATTGCTCTTGCACTCCAAGGTCAACCTGGCCTATGCCTATGAGACCAAGGATGCCCTGTGCCTGGTGTTAACCATCATGAATGGGGGCGACCTGAAGTTCCACATCTACAACATGGGGAACCCTGGCTTTGAGGAGGAGCGAGCCTTGTTTTATGCAGCTGAGATCCTCTGCGGCTTGGAAGACCTGCACCGGGAGAACACTGTCTACAGGTGAGTTGTGCTCCCGGGAGTTTGACTGGGTGGGGCTGGCCCTGCACCAGGTCAGCACAAGTGAGGATGCAAGAGTCAGATGGTCTCCTCCTACCGTGGAGCCCCAGGGATCCCCAGGACCGAGCAAGTGAGGAGGGCTCTCTCCAGTGTGTTCTCTGGCCTCCAAAGTATCAGGAAGCCAAGCATGTGAAACGATGCTCCCCAAGCCCCGGCTCCCCCAAGTTGAGGTCAATGGGCCACAATCCCTGTCCCTGCAGCCCAGCCCCAGGAAGCTCAGGGGAATCAGCCCCAGGAAGCTTAGAGAGGGAGGCCACCCAGGGGCAGGCATCAGAGAAGCACCCTGTGCTCACCACTCTCCGCACGGACCTCAATGCCACAGGGCCCTGGACTGTGGGGCCGTGTGTCCAGATGCTCCTCAGGGCCAGCAGTGGACTTTGCTTCTCACAACGCTCCACAAAGAAACTTGAGAACCTCTGTGCCCCTTGCTTTTTGACATTGACATTGTCAGCTTGCCCCTGTTGGTGATGGTTTGACGTTGAAATATCCCAACACGTGTTTAAATAGTGGCAAATATTGATATTTTGAAATTGAACACTCACCAGTGGATCTAGTGGAATCGAATCACTGCAGCAAACTGATTTGCACCATCATCTATCTAAAAAATGTACGGGAGGCTCCTGGAAGGTGAGAATGATGTCCAGCAACCACAGCCCCCGGACTGCCAGCACCTGGGACACTGACATTCCCACAGACCCTCCTGGCCCCGGCTTGAAGACCTTTGTGTAGAGCCACAGCCATTTGAGGAGTCCAGGAAAGTTTTGGGAACCGGAAAGAATGGTCTTGGTGACAAGCCCTCCCCGATCCCATCTCTCTGCTTGTATTTTTTTTGTTTATTTGTTTTTATTCAAGTGAAAAGAGAGAACGTTTTCCCTAAGGGTTGGAAAAAAGAATCCTCCACTTGATTGCCTTTTGCTTAAAAAAAGAAACAAAGAAAAGGGAAAATAAAGCCTCCAAGTCCAGCTCCTCTTCTTCTAGGGAGGCAGAGAACCCTGCTCTTCTGGGGTCCTGACCCTCTGCGTGGACTTGGTTCTGGCCCATGCCCCTGGGGAGCTGTTCTTCCAACCAGGCAGATGCTGATTTATTGAGGAGGTGTCTCTTGTCCTTATTTGGAATTGTTAACACATCAAAGGAAGACAATGTAAATAACAATAGCAACAACATTATTTCGTAATGAACAAGTATACACAGACACTAATTATCACTCTGTGAGGCTGCCCAGTGGATTTGGGTACATTAACCACTCCCCATAAGGACAGCTGCCTTCAGTTAAATAAACAAAGCCCATTGCTTGGGAACTGGAACCCCATCCAGATGGGCTCTATTGTCATTCCCAAGGCAGAGCTGAGTTGTGTGCGCCCCCCTCTGGGCTATTACCCTTTACTAGGAAAGCCAGCAGCTTCTGACGCCTGTCCCCCATCCTGGGAAGGCAGTGGTTCTCCTAATTTCGAGCAAGTTTCTGCATAAAGGAGGCAGGATTGGGAATAGATGAGGCAGCAGCACCTGCATGTGACCCTCTGGCTTGCTTCTCCCTGGCTGTGGCCCAGCTGGGGCAGGAATATGCCGGCCCCCTGGAGCCCCCCTGAGCCCTGCCCACAGGGGTCTTCACGGGGCCCAGCTTCTCCCCTGCAGTTCTCTTCCCAGTTGCTCAGCGGGAGCTTCGGATGCAGTGATTTCTCTTTCTTCATTCCCAGGACCTTCAGGGTATCCTGGGACCTCAGGGTCTTCCCAGCCCTCAGGAGGCTCTGTCACCACACCAGCCGGTCTCCCTCGCCCTGGGGGCTGTCAGGGTGTGGTCAGGTGCCAGGACTGGCCTTTCCTACCTTCCCAGTCGCCCTTCAGGGTCAGGAAGATGCCTGTGGCAAACAGCAGCTTTTGTCTTAGGTTCCTGGAAGGAGATAAAGAACCCCAAGATCATCCTGACCTAGAGAGACCAGCCGGTCAGAGCCCAGAGGTGGGAGGGGACGCCCTGGGGTGCTCGGGCCTAGTGACCCAGGGGTCAGTCCAGGCGCCAGTCTGTCCTTGCTGCCCAGGATGGGCACACTCAGGTGCCTCTTGTCATTCCCTTTCAGAGATCTGAAACCTGAAAACATCCTGTTGGACGACTATGGTGAGTCGGGGCTCAGGCCTCTGGGAGGTGGCTGCAGGGTTCTGGCCACAGGACCGCTGGAGGAGAGGCCATGGGAAGACCTCGCTCCAGCTTCTCAGTCCTGGGCGGGGGGAGGCAGCGGGTGTGGACAAAGCTCCTGTTTCGTGAGGAAACATCGTGGGTTGGCCCAGAGGGACAGAGAGCACTGCGTGAGGAGCCTGGCATCTCAGAGACGCTGACAGACACTTGCACGAAACTTCCCTGCTCCGCGTGGAAACCAGGAGCGCACCGCCTTCCCCTCTAGAGGGGGGCAGCTGTGGGGAGCCCCTGTTAGCCTGCTAGGTGTCGTTGCTTGTCTGCTACCATCATTCTCTTCTCCTGGGAGTGAGCACAGGGATAGCCAGAGCGGCCACAGTAAGCCCTGAGGACCATGTAGCCTCCCACACCTGCAAGATAGTTTCCGCACCTGCTACCTGACCAGGATTTCCCATCTCCACAGAAGGTGGGATCTCAGTGCCCACTTCATAGGTGACAAGACTGAGGCTCTAAGGAGCCAGGCTCAGCTGGTGGTATCAGTGGGGAGCAGGGAGCAGAACCAGGCCTCTTGCATGCCCCAGGCCCCTGGAGAGAGGTCTATTTGGGGTGCTGTGCCTGGAGAAGCGGGGTGTCCTGGAGCCTGCTGGTCCTCTGTGGATGGGCCCAGAGCCACACTGAGCTCCTGCTGCTGACTGCCCACACCCACCTGCTCTCTGAACTTGGACTTGCAGAGGTCCAGGCTGCAGGGGGCCCTGGTATCCACAGGCAGAAAGGGGAGGGACACTTTCCTTCCTGCAGGGTAAGATGTAGCCACGACCCTGCCTGTGGTGAGACAGAGGCAGCTGGTGCTCTCAGTGGGCGTCTCCTGGGTCTTTGGGTCGGTCCTGGACTCTGAGGACCCTGATGGGCTCCATCTCCAGACATTTGCCCTTCTTTTTTCTCTGAAGGGAAAAAACAAACCACCTCCAAAAACTAACCAGGCAGGGCAGGGAACTGCTTCCCAAATTGCTTTGTAATTTTTTCCCCTTAAGCAAATTGTTGCAAAATGTCAGGAGAATCTCATATTTTTCCCATGAAGCAATCCCAGAATCAGGCCAGCACATTTTAAACTTTGCGACCTCAGCCTTCCAGAAAGCCCATTAGGGCATTTTATGAGGCAGGTCGGCCAGCGCCCAGCCAGATCCCGGCATCCTTTTGCATCTTTGTGTTTTACTCCTAAAAAGTGCAGTTCACCCACGGCTCGTCATGCCTGGCCTCTCCCGGGTCCTGTGCTCACCCTGAGAGGCAGACGAGGGTCACATCTTCATGGGACAGAGGGGAAACCGAGAGCTCATGTGCCTCACCATTGTGGCTGAGGTGGACCGAGCTCCCACACAGCTGTCCCGAGGCCCGCTGACCCTGCTGTCCCCCACAGGCCACATCAGGATCTCAGATTTGGGGCTGGCTGTGAAGATCCCTGAGGGAGACCTGATCCGCGGCCGCGTGGGCACGGTCGGCTACATGGGTGAGTGTGGCCCTGCTCCTGTCACATGCTGACCCTTCCCTTGGGCCCCCCAACCACAGTGCATCACTGGTCAGGGTAGTCAAGGCCCCCGCTGACTCCTTGGTGGACCCTAGCCAGCCAAGGTGGCACATGGGACCCGAGAAGAGCTCTCTGCAGCCCCTACCCCATTCTGGGGGATCGGTGGCCAGAGCCCGGCACTCGGCACTGCTAGGGAGGCCTCGTGGAAGTAGAGGTGGGGGGGGCAGGCAGATGGCCCCTCTGAAAGGAGGAAGGTCATTAGGAAGGATCCAAAATGAGTCCACTGTGTCACCAAGCATGATTCTAATTAGACACCTGCCCTGCCCCCCTCAGTCCGCCCCAAGACCAATGTCCCAGGGGCTTTAGGGAAGTGACCTGGAGCTAAACCCAGGCCCCCAAAGCCCTGCTTCCAAATGGGGCCTCCCCCAGCTTTCCTCTTATACCTTGCAGACACGCCCCACTCACCCTGGGACATGTGACCATGCGAGCTCTGGAGCCAGGCACCTCATTGCCCTCCACCCAGGCTGTGCCTGTGGGATTCAGTGCTTGGTCTCTGGTGCTGAAGAGTCCTGTGCAGACTGCATGATATTTGGCAATCTGAGGGCATTCTGTGTGAATGGGCGAGAGCCTGTGTGAATGTGCGCGTGCCTGTGTGAATGTGCGCGTGCCCGTGTGAATGTGTGCATGCCCATGTGGATGCTCACAGACAGGTAGATGATGGTGGATGATGGATAAGCCTCTCTGTATCCCTGCTTACATGTTCGCTTCTGCATTTACATCGTCTCCTTTTGCACAAGGTGTTGCACATTTCGTGTGCAACGCTGTTGTGCACCCGGTGCATGTGTGCATGCGTTCACACATGACATGTGACTGTCTTTCTTGTGCTTCTATGGTGAATCTAGAGTTCATTCTGTCAAAGGGGTAGGAAAGACATAGTGGGAGTTTGTTTGAATTCCAGATCAATTTAAAATCTTTAACTTGGGTGGATACACCCTTATTTGCTGCAACAAGTATGTATAAGCACCTACTGCATGTCACTGGGGACACAGCAGTGGAAAAGGCAGTGAGTGCGTGTTCTGGTGGGGGCACCTCAAGGGAGCAGGACCTCTCAGTTCTGGTGCTCAACCAGAACCCTTGATGGTGCAGAGCAGGCACCCCGGAGGAGCTGAGGTTTCCAGCAGCTGGCCCAGGGGCTGGAGGAGGGGATGTCCCAGCTGAGACACTCCAGGTCACCCACCAGCAATGCTACTCCAGGGTGCAGGAACCTCCTCTGAGGTGAGGAGCAGCTCTGGCCGACATGGCTGGGCAGTCCTGCTGCTGCTAGCTCTGACCACTCCTGCCCTTTTCTTCTGCCTCCAGCTCCAGAGGTTCTGAACAACCAGAGATATGGCCTGAGCCCTGACTACTGGGGCCTGGGATGTCTCATCTATGAGATGATCGAGGGCCAGTCGCCGTTCCGTGGCCGCAAGGAGAAGGTGAAGCGGGAAGAGGTGGACCGCCGGGTCCTGGAGACAGAGGAGGTGTACTCCCACAAGTTCTCCGAGGAGGCCAAGTCCATCTGCAAGATGGTAAGTCCCAGGGAGCCCAAGGTGTCCAGGGGTGGCTCCCCCACCAGCCCCCAGCCTTCCCCAGAAGGGCCATGCGTCAGGGCGTGCTAGGCTGCGGGTGGAGCAGACCGAGGCCCAGGTGCTTGTGCTCATTGCCGAGGACCACGGTGGTGAGCAAAGGCCTCAGGAGAAGCCTGGGGTTGAGCTCCATGCAGGCCAAGGGGAAGTGAGACACCCTCACTCCCACACCCAGCTCTACGGGCAAGTCAGCTGCTCCCTCAGCTCTGGACCCCAAGGTGCTGGCTCGAGTCTGCAGGAGGGCAGTGACGTTTTCAGTCTGAGTACTTTAAAGTTTTCCATCCCCTCGGTGGAGTGCAGGTGACACGGGCTCAGGTTCTACATGACGGCAGCTGGGATAACGGGATGTGACCCACCCTGAGCAGGACACACATGGGAGTGGTTTGCACACACTGCGGGACTGGGTCAGCCAGAGAGAGGAAGGGGAAAGGCGCCACGAAAGTGAGAGAGCTGAAGGTGGGGTCCACCCTGGGCTACAGCCTAGGTGGGCCCCACTCTGGGGCTGGCCCTCAGGCCCTTCTTTGGCTCTGTAGGGAGATGGCCACTTACTATTTCTACCTGGCTCTTAAGCTCCCAAGTCACAATGAGAGGCAGCTGAATGTCCAGGGCCTGAATGCCCAGCTCTGCCCACCTGCAAGCCCACAGACTTCCTGTCCTTGGTGTCCCACTGCACCTGGGGGTGTGGACTGAGTCCTCTCTTCCCTCCTCTCTGAATCCACGTGGCCTTGGGGCAGATTCAGTGCCTGTATGAACAGCCCGGCTGGAGGTTAGGGAAAAGCTGGCCTAGAAAGCCAGTAAAAAAAAACCCCAAGGGTCCGCTTCCAGGAACCTCAGGCTGCACTGCTAGTGGCCCGGGAACCAAGGGGCTTGGCTCACCCAGCCCTGGAGGCCCCTCAGCTACAGCCATCCACGCTCAGCCCAGCCCCTTCTCTTACCAGCTTCATTTATGGCTTCGAGCAGTGGGAAGAAGGAATTGGGGCTGGATCTGTCATCTGACCACAACCAAAAGAAGTGGAACTAAGGATGAGAGGGACCCTTGGGAAGGAACACTGTGTACCAGGCAGCACACACCCAAACCCTGTAGCTTGCTGGCCAACTGTGTGTGCTAAGAGGCCCCCAAGAGATTCAGGTAGTCATTGCAGCCAGAGTTGGGGTTGGGGACAAGAGGAACAAGGCAGGAAAGGTCAGATGGATAGAAACAGGGGCGTGGACAATGCTTGGTTGTGCCATGGGGAGGAATCTATGCCACGCGACCAGCCTGGACATGGCTGTAGAAGAGGGAGTTGGACAGCTGTGGTCAGAGCGTCATTGAATGTCGCAGGTCAGGGTCATAAATTCAGAGAATGAAGTTTTCATCAACAGGGACATGGTGCATGCTAAAGGATAAGAGGCAGAATGGACCCCTACTCCCAACCCTGCACCCTCAAACATCCTCTCTAGCTTTGAGCTGGGATATCCTCCAGCAACCAGCAAGACAGATGTCCCTCTGCTGCCCCCTTGTGGCCATCGAGAGAAAGTAGTGGCTGTGGCTGAGCTGACTGCTCCAATGAACCAGGCCTGGGGGTACAAAGTGACTCTCCCATGGAAGAACTGCCAGAGGACTCTGGCCTTGTCTTCTCTCCTGGGATCTTAGGACTCTTGTCTTCAACCTCCTCCTCACCCTTAACTGCTGCCTCTGAGGCCTGTGCTCTCCAACTGGCTCAAGGTACCGCAGGGCTTGACTTGCAGGAAGACCCTGGAGGCCTGGGTCTATGGGGCGGCTCCTGGGCTCAGACAGCTCCAACCTTCCTGCCTAAGATGGCTGCTCCACAAGCAGCAAGGGAGCAGGTCTCAGGCCTCAGGCCTTCCCCATTCCATCTTGGCAGCCACAGGACCTGGCAGCCCTGACCCCTGAGGTCCAGAAGTTAATGCATCTTGTTGTTTTGTCCCTTGGGTCCAGACCCTAGGCCCAGGCCTCAGTGTCCACCTTCTTAGGCCCCTGCTGAGTTCCAGCCCTGGATCTTCCCTGCCCTCCCACCTGCCCTCCGCCTGCCCTTCCTCCTGCCCTCCAGGAGGCCTGCTCTCTACCTGCCCCACCCACCCAGCTCACACCCTCTCCCCCTCTGATGTACCCCTGAGATCGTGTTGCAGACTGGCAGCATGTAGGAGGGTGTTTTGTTCAGCCTGGATGGAATGTTTTAGAAAGAATTAAATAGTGGATTAATTGCCAAGATTTAAAAGCAAGGAGATTTCACATAAAAACCTGAGTTTCTGGCACCCCTTCAAAAAGCAGCAGAAGCCCTGGGCCCTGGCTGACATTCCTGCCTGACAGAAGCCGATGTGCAGCCTGTCAGGCTTGCCCCCAACTCCAGTCCACCCTCACCTTTAGCACTCTGGTTTATGCCACCCGTCTGGCCAGCCCCTGCAAGCTCTGGGGGCTGCGGCAGCACATCCAGCCACTACACGGGGAGCCTTGCCTTTCTTGGAACATGTAGAGCAAATCCCACTCCCTTACACATAGAGGAGAGAAGCCAAGGTGTGGGTAACAGGCCTGAGCCACCAGCCGGGTAGTCAGAGGAACAGAGTGACACCTATAGGGCCTAAAAGTGCTTAATCCTTACAAGGATGTCACCTGGTGCTTGCCCTGCTGCCATGTTTGGCTCTTCTGTTTGAGGGAACACATCCCCTTTTATCCGTGAACTTCAGGAGGCCAGCGCTGGGGTCGGAACACCTGGGAGGGCTCAGAGATATAGGTGGGAGAGAGAGTGTGACAGGGACCACGGACGTCCCTCCACTCCTCTGCCCTCTGGCCTCTGGCACAAGGAGAGGCCCAACCGCATGCCTCATGGTCATTTGTCACAGCTGCTCACCAAAGACGCCAAGCAGAGGCTGGGCTGCCAGGAGGAGGGCGCGGCCGAGGTCAAGAGGCACCCGTTCTTCAGGAACATGAACTTCAAGCGCTTGGAGGCCGGGATGTTGGACCCTCCCTTCATTCCAGATGTGAGTAGCCTCCCCAGCCCCCAGCAGATCCAAGGCCTGCTGTCCAGCAGGCCCGTGCCCAGGGCCATTCTCTTTCACTGCCTCCGTGTTGGCAGAGCATGGGTCATGCTGCTGTCCTCGTGGGGACCATGTCCCTTCCCTCTGGCTACTTCCTGCCAATGCTGCAAATGGACTTCGTGCCCGGTGATTCCGATGGGGTATGGGCCTGGGAGCCCCACACTGGTCATCCAAAGACTTGGCTACTTGGACTGAGGGACCTGGCTAAATCCCTCCTAAGCTTTAGTTTCCTCGCCTAATGAGGCCCATGTCGCCTCTCCTCCAAACTGCCAGGGACGGCTAACAGTAAAATGAACTGAATGGAGAGGGTTTTCAAGAGCATGGTAGGCTGGCATGCACTGAGCACCTACTGTTTATGCCAGGTTCTGGGCCAGGCACGGCCAGCTCAAATTACAAGGAGGCCTATCTCCTTCATGAGGTCCTAAGTCAGGGTGTGAGGCAGCAGCACTTCAGTTAAATTAGGCAGGATCCAGTCCCTAAAGCCCAGGCTCACGCTCAGCTGGGCTAGAGGCTCGAGGGACCTGGCCCTGGCAGGGGCAGAACAGGCTGAGGCTGCCGCTCCAGGGCCTGAACTCTGTCGAATCAAGAGATCAAAAGTCCGAAAGATCTGCTGCCACCTCTGTTCCTTTGCAGTCCCCAGAGACTGGGACAACATCCCAGGTGGGGCATGGAGGCTACACCTGGGACCCTGAGACAGTGGGCTGGCTTCCTGCATCCTGTGAGAGCTGAGTATGCATCCTCTTCCCAACTCAGTGCTCAGCCACTTCAGGTTGGCCACTTGTAGCAGAGGGGTGAGAATATTTGCACCACTGCCATGGGCAACAAATACAAATCAGAGCCTTGCCGTCCATCCCCCTGCCCCAGCACCACCCTGTGCGGAGGAAGGTGGGGCCAGCCTTGGAACTCCAGCATTCCCTGTAGATGGGGACGCCCTGGTCATCTGGGCAGGGCAGGAGGGCAGCAGCAGTTTTGAGAAACAGGGCCCAGCTGGGTGTTAAACAGTGGCCATGGCAGCCACCGCTGACCCCATCTGGCCAGTTATGGAGGAAGAAGGGAGCCATTGAGCATGTAGAGTAAAAGTCACCGAGTGCTACAAACTTAGCCCAGCCTAGCCAGTGTCAGCAGGTGGTGGAGAGAGTCCCAGTTATAGCTCTCAATCCTGGTTGTCCATCTGGGGCAGGGGACATGACAAACGCTGATCGTAGACCTGGTCCTCAAGGAATCTGGGACCAGGCCTGGGCCTTAGGGTTTTCAAAACCTCTTCAGGTGATTCTAACATGCAGCTGGGGTTTACAGTGACTGTGCTATAGGAAAGGCCACCAGCCAGGAGTTAGTGGCTTATAGTTTTTAACATTGAGGTCTCTGGGCACAGCTACAACTCAGTATCCCTGGAAACCACCCAGAGTGGTTGCAAGGACATGACAGTTGTGTTATTGGGTTAATGTCCCAAGTTACAGGAGAGGTGGACACCCAGGCTGGGTCTGGGGCAAAGGTTTGGAACCATCCCCCACCCCAGGTTGTTGCTATGGTGATGAGATGAGATCAGACATAACAACCTCCCGGCATGCTCCAGGCCTTGTGCCAGACCCTGGGGGACCCATGGTGAACAGAACACTGGGTTGTTTCTCTCTGGGCACTCTCCGTCTCGGAGGAAACGTGTCAGCAAGCACCCCCTAAGTGAAAGTGGGAGTAGAGTAGTGAGAGCAGAGAACGGGACCTGGGAGGAGGAGATGGTGTCGCGAAGGCTTTTGCACGGAGCTGGCCAGGCAGAGCCAGAAGAGCCTTCCAGCTGGTGGAAGGTGGCATCTCTGATAACCAGTCATCCAGGTTTACCCAGAACTGTCTTGTTTTTAGCACTGAAAGTCCTGTGTCCTGAGCAGACAGGGATGGTTGGTCCCCCTGACTGTGACCCTTCCCGCTGGGTTGCAGAGCACCTCAGGCTGCCTTGAGGAGATGAGATCACCCATTGGATGTGTCCATCCCTCCCCAGGTCCACAGCACCCTGTGGACCCTGAGGTCCATGGCCCCTTCTCTGGGCAGCCAAGGCCCCAGGCCTACCAGCCAATTGGGAGGTGAGCAGAAGTTACAGGTCCCTGTGAGCTGGGGCCACATTCATAACCCTCAGAGCCATTGCTGACTCTATCTTTTTCACTTCACTTGACTTTTTAATAAATGTATTCCAAAAGGAAACTTCTCCAAGAAGTCATAGCCATGAGATGGTAACTTTTGGCAAATTAGATAAATTTCTATGCCAGAACAGATTTTTTAAAAATACACTTTTTGAAAAATGTCCATCACCATGTCTCCCAGGGCCAGCTTCGGGGGCTGGACACGAGCAGTCACACTGGCCCACTTGGCTCAAAGCCCCGCTGTTGCCATCTTGAAATTCTGAATACATTTTGAGCACAGGACCCTGTGCTTCCTTGCACACTGGACCCTGCACATGATACTGCCATGTTCCACGGTGGCATGCACCCTTGGCCTTGGAAGTAGAGGAGGCAAATCACAGCTGTGAAGCTGGACGCCCCCTACCCCATCGTTGCCCACGCACAGTTCGGCCCAGCGATCTGCTGCACTGGGGACTGAGTGGCCTCCAAGCCTCCTACTTGTTCCTTGAGCAGCAGTTAGGACTGGAGGCCCCAGAAAGTACCCAATCCTGAGACCCGTGCTAGAGCCCTCTGAGTGATTGCTGCCCGCACCAAGCCCGCATGCCAATGCCGATTCATGACCTTCAAATCAGCCAGTGTCTGTGCTGGGCCCTCGGCAGTCCTGGGGAGCCTGTTTCTGCCCTCCAGCTACAGGCACATTGCTAGGTCTGGGGGACATTCTGCACCCGCCCCCCGCAGTCATCTATAAAGCCCCCGTCTCCACACCCCAGGCTCCTAGAGCCCCGGGAAGCCACCTCCAGTATCCGATGAGTCCAGCCAGATTCGTTTCTGGCAGCCCTGGCGTGGAGCAGGCCCTCTGCTCTTATTTGACGGGCGGGTGAGATTAAAAACCTTCTGTCACGATCACAGCAGCGCACACTCACAGTGCTCGGCACTTAAGCATTACCAGAAGCTCGATGGCCCTGGGCTTCTGTTGTCCCCCTATTTGCAGGTGAATAAACTGAGGGCATATGTGACTTCTCCAAAGTTTTTAAGCACCGCAGCTGGGAGTATGGCCCAAGTCTGTCTGGCCACCGGGTCTAGGTGCTAACCCATAGCCCTCACTGCCCCTTAACATGAAAAGGGGCTGGGAGCTATTCCTGCCAGAGCTGTGCCCGTCACCCCCAGGACATCCTTCATCTGCAACTTGGTCACCTGAGGGAGGCAAACTCCCACATAGGCCCCTGCTCTGGTCCCGAGTCCCCAGCACTCATTCTTTCCATGGAGCAGTGGACCAGAGGCCCCAAACTGTCCAGGGCAAGCTCTCATCCAACAGAGGTGACACTGGAAACGCTGCCACCTTCCCAACGCTGTGATCTTCAGGATAACTGACATGGCTGAGGGAGTGTGGGGAGGCCAGAGGTGCCAAGGACCATGAGCATAGAGACAGGCGGTTCCCCCTCCGCGTTCAGCCCAGCCTGGACTGTGGGGTAAACTTGGGCATGTGTCAGGAAGCAGTGGCAGGAAGGAGCCCCGCACAGAGCAGCTAGACACCCAGCTGTTGTTTCATCTTGGCTGGGTCCCCTTGGTGGCTCAGAGAGAGCAGGGCAGGTTTGGGGGAGCCCCAGGAAGAAGCGCCCCTGCTCCCCATCAAAACCCCACGGCCTGGCTCAGGGACTCAGAAGCCAAAGCAGGGCGCATGTGCAGCGAGCCCTCTGCCTCCTCAGCCGCGGGCCGTGTACTGTAAGGACGTGCTGGACATCGAGCAGTTCTCCACCGTGAAAGGCGTCAACCTGGACCACACGGACGATGACTTCTACTCCAAGTTCTCCACAGGCTCCGTGTCCATCCCATGGCAAAACGAGGTGAGCAGAGTGGGACAGTGGCTTCGTTCTGGGAGGGACGGGTGGTCAGCGGCCAGGACACTGCTGAGAGCAGGGTGAGACAGGGACAGAAATGTGGCTGCTGGGTGTGCCCCAGGGACAGTCTGTGGGGCTTGGGCCAGGGCCACGGTGCAGGGTGGGATTCAGAAGCCAGCCAGATGGGCTGCGAGCAAGCAGAGGCAGGAGCGCTGGCCTCCCGGAGAGGTTTGGCTGGGAGGGGAGACGAGAACAGCAGTCGCAGAGGCAGGAAGAGAGGCGACGGGGAGGTGGGTTTGGTGGAAGAAGATGAGCGAGCTCCTGTTCTCACTGGAGTCCGAACAAGGCTGCACCCACCCCTGGGCGAGCCACAGGGGAGCCTCATCTGGGTCCAGGAGGCAGAGGGCAGGCGGGTCAGGGAAGATGAGGCCCGGGTGACAGGCCATGTCCCTGCTGGCCTCTCCAGATGATAGAAACAGAATGCTTTAAGGAGCTGAATGTGTTTGGACCCGACGGTACCCTCTCACCAGACCTAAACAGAACTCAGCCTCCAGAACCACCAAAGAAAGGCCTGCTGCAGAGGCTCTTCCGGCGTCAGGTGAGATCCGGCTGCCAACCCGGCCTCAGCGCGGACCCCGGCCCACATCTGTGTAAAGCAGCAAGACCAGAGCTGCAGAAGGGACCCCAGGGCAGAAGGGGTGGGCATCCCCAGTCTACCTGACGTCGGGGTCTTTCCCTCCACACTTGGTGTTTGGGGCCGGTTCCTTGTGGCGGGCTGTGCTGTCCACTGAGGGACGGCAAGCAGCAGCCCTGGCCTCTGCCGTGAGATGCAGCAGCACCTCTTTCCCCGAGCTGTGACAGTAGAAAATGTCTGCAGACATTGCCAAGTGTCCCCTGGGGGACAAAATTACCCCAGGTTGAGAGCCACTGCCCCCTATGGCCCGGGTAGGACTCAAGTGTGCAGATGAGGATGAACAGAGAAAGGGCAGGGAGACTGGCGTTGGGGTGATCCCTGCAGAACCTCTTGGCTCCTGGGGCAGACCCCCCTTCATCATTGAGTGGGTCCCCTGCAGCTGGCAGCCAGAGGAGACCCATCCTGGGGGAAAACATTCGCCCCTCACAGCCAGTCCCTGGAGTAAGGGTTGACATAGACCAGATGGAGAAATGCCGCAGCGGGGAGCAGACCCAGACGACTGAGAGCCTGGGGTCCACACTCTGTGACCCCAGTGGCAACCAAAGAGTGCCCCTTCTTGGCCTGGCCCTTCAAGAAGATGCTTATCCTGGGAGCCTCCCCCAGTCTGGCTTCTCCCCTCCTCTCCCTCCTCCTCCCCAGGAGGATAAAGAAGAGGCAGGTGGAGTTCTAGCCTCCTGGCTTGGAATCTACCCCCGCCCCCCCTGCTTTGATTGCAGGGGTGAGGGTGGCTTTGGGGGAGCTCCACTGTGGACCAGGCCACTGGGCTGGGCCCTTTTCCAGGGCTTCTCCCATTAATATCCACCAAACCCCAGACTTCATTTCAGCAACACATCTTGGGCACCTCCTGCCCGCAAGGCTGCGCACAGGCATCCTAGTGAACTGTGAGCCCAGGCTTGTGCTGCCATGACCCCATTTCACAGAGTAGAGCACTGAGGCTGAGCGATTAAAGAACTTGCCCAAGCTCACACATCTGGTGAGCCCCGGGAAGGAGCTGGAGGAGAACAGGAGAGGGAACATACACAGGCTGAGGCCCCGAGCTTACCATTTTATCTAAAACTCCACGTAGGATTTACATCCCATTCTATAATACACTTATGTTTGCATAACGTAAAAATATAACTTTTAAGTTGTTCCATCAATCGAAACCAAAGTTCCAGAAAGAAATGACCTCTCCCCTCACCCATGCAGCTGAGCTCCCAGGAATTTCCTCAGTCTAGAAAGCAGTCGCTGTGGAGCCTTGGGGCTCCTGTTAGAAGGCTCCCTGGCCTTTATTGGTTAGGTGGCAGCTTTTTGAACCGCTCCCAGCCTCAGTTTGACCACCTAAAAAACCAACATGCCTGCTGCCAGGAGTTGCAGAGGACGGAGTCGGGTGGAGGAGGGGGATGGCACCCCCAGCACAGTGCCCAGCTCTGGCACCTGAGAGGCTGATGCTCCTCATCTCTCCCTCTCTACCCTGCCACTTGAGGGGCCCAGAACCCATAGGGATGCCGGGAGGTGCCAGGCTGATGATGAACAGCCCAGCATTTTGGGGCCAGGCACTTCCTGGAGCCTTTGCATACATGGCCTCCGTTCATTCTTCCAACAACTCCACGAAGCCCTCATTCCTCATTGCAGGCCAGGAAACCAAGGGATTAAAGAAACTGCAGGAGGTCAACTAAGAGGTGGTCAGATCCCAACCCAAGCAGTCAAATTCCAGGTCTGTAGGCTTAGCCAGCACAGATGTCACAGGAGGGGCCCTTTCTCCCTGAGTCAGGGTTCCCTTAATTCCAAGGTTCTTCCCAGGCAGCCTCAAGGTTGGCCTCTGGCCCAGGTCTGCCGGGGAGAATGCAAAAGGCCACAGAAAGCAAGAGAAGTGGGTTGGAGCAGCCCCTGCACCCTGTCCCCTCTTCCAGAGCCCCACAGATGTGTCAGCGCCAGGGTTTGACTTCAGGGAGGACTGACGCATGCTCTCTCTCCCCCTCTCCCCCAGCATCAGAACAGTTCCAAGAGTTCGTCCAATTCCAAGACCAGTTATAACCACCACATCAATTCAAACCACGTCAGTTCAAACTCCACGGGAAGCAGCTAGTTTTGGCCTTGGCCTTGAAGTCCACAGTGGAACCAGCCCAGACCCTTCTACTTGGAAGCAGAACTGGTGGCCAGTGGGGCTTCCACTCTGGCTGGGAGGCCAGGGGAGCCCCCAGGAGCCAGGGAAGGGACCGTCCACCTCCTCAAAGAGCCTCGAGATTTCTCAAAGAAATTTCCACTCAGGTCTGTTTCTTCAAGGCGGCCCCCAGCTGGGGTGGATTGGATTTGCCCTCGTTGAACATGGCAATAGAAACCCAATGGGACACGGCAACTTGCACGTATTTTAATAGGCGTCCTAACTAGAACTGAATTTTTGTCTTTATTATTTTTAAAGAAAAGTTTTGTAAATTTCTCTATTGTCTCAGTTTACATTTTGTATATTTGTATTTAAATGAAAGTCCAGACTTTGAGGTGTAGATTTTTTCTGTGCAGCCACTATTAAGCCATGTGTTTTAAGACATTTTAGAAGGGGGGGGGGTTACCAAAAAAAAAAAATGTGACTCCAGACTTCCAGAGACTCAGATGAGAAAATGTTTTTATTAAATGTAGAAAATGTTTCACCTTTCACCTTTAAAGGGTTGGTTGCATTTACCTACATCCATCTCTAACCTTTCCTCACGGTGGCTCACACTTCTATTGGCTTCTTAGGATCTGAATCAAGTGCTCAAGACCCACTTGGAATTCCCCTGAGAATGTCCTCTCTGGGACTGTGCAGCTGCCATTGCTGCCTCCCTACTGCCCCCTCTTCCTTCTGCAGGGTGCCCGCTCTGCAGAGAAGATTGCCTACAGCCCAGTGGGCTCCGGGCCTCTTTCTGCAAGGTCCCAGCTGCTAAAGCCAGTAGTTTCCAAGAGGTTTGTGCTGTGTTTGGGGATTTCTGTCATGTAGTATTTCTAAAAGAAGCATAGTAACAGGAAGGACTAGGCATGGAATCTTGAGTGTTCCAAACCCTCAGGACATGGGGAACATCAGGAGGTGAGATCCAGTGGGTCATTCTCAGCCTTTGTGTCTGCAGAGGGGAGGGAAGCTCACCCAGGGCTCAGAACATTCCTGAAGTGTCTACCAAGTCTTGAGTCTGGGCACCTTCACCAGGCCCCCACCAATTGACCATTGTGGCATGGATGAGGTTGTCTCTCCAGGCAAATGGCATGTCCCAGGACAGACTGGGCCACCAAGAAAACTCAAGACAATCTCACTGTCACTTCCTGCAGGAGAGCTGGGGTGGAGGCAAGGTCTAAGCGGGCATCTCAGTTTCAGGCACAAGTAGACCCTGGAGGCGCAGGGGCTTTCCGGACCAGGGGCCTCTGAAAGCATTCCTGGACCCTTGTAGCCTGGCTGTCCAGCCTGGGGAGCTGCTGGTCATGCCCTGCTACCTCACAGGGTGACAAAGAGCAGATCTGCCCTCAGCTCCCCTCCAGGACAGGGCGAGTGGCTGGCCTACGGCTCCCCTGCCTGGCCTAGCCCTGCTTTCCATTCTGCCTCAGAACTGGTCAGCCACCAGCAGCTGCCAGGGTGTCTCACAGGGGGGTGGACGCTGCCTGCCTCAGTGGTGCCTTCTGTTAACATGCAGATTCCCAGGCTCTGCCCCTGGGAACCTTGGAGTGGGACCCAGGAATCTGCATCTTCTAAAGGCTCACCAGGTTATTCTGATGATCCTGGAGTAAGAGAACCAGCACCTTAGGCTACCAGTCACCAATGTGACTGTCCCAAACAGGTGAGCCAGCAGCTTTGGGACCTGAACACGTAAGGAGGAGCATTATGGGTACGTCGGCCCCATTTCCAAGCTCTCCCAGCAAACCTCAGTGGGAATCCCCAGACATGCTGCTAGAAAAGGGTCTGGGCTTTGGTCATTTTAGAAGCAAACCGAGAAAATAAATAGCCGGACGCCTCTCAAATACCCTACCGTACAGTGTTATCTTCCAGAGCAGCCCAGGAGGCTGCGCCAAGTAAAGCCAACACAGACAGCTGCATTCGGGTTCTGCCAGGAGGGGGGCGCTCTCGGGTCAGTTTTTCAAGATCCTCAAGCTCCTGCAGATGCTCCTTAAGGAAAAGGCCATCATCCTCCTGGGTCGGTCACCAGCCCAAGCCACCACCCAGCCTCCTGCCTAGAAGGTTTCTTCCTTTCGCCCCACTCGCAGCCACTCTACCCCTGCCAGATGGCTCAGTGCTGATGGCTCTTCATGCCCCAAAGCCAAGGCCCTGTCCATATGCAGCAGAGAACCCAGGGAGGGGAAAGACGCCATGCCTGGGTACCAGGGTTCCACATCGTAGAAGTGCCAGCGGTCCGAAACACGGGACTCGGCACTGACTCAGGACCACGTGTCTTCCTTCCTGGTCGTCACCTGTCCCTGCAAGTGCCAGGAGAGGTGGGGGCAGTCATGAGGCCTGTTCGTCATCCATGTCTTCTTAACAACAGAGCAGATCTTGAGAACAGTGCCTGAACCCAGCCCCTCTCCCCAAGGAGGCCCAGTCCCTGTTCCTTCCCTGTCTGGCTCCTCTTCCAGTCTTGGTTTTTATACTTTTTTGGGGGGGGAGGTGGGTACTGGGATTGAACCCAGGGGTGCTCTACCACTGAGCTACGTCCCCAGCCCTTTTTATTTTATTTTCAGAGAGAGTCTCACTAAGTTACCCCAGGCTGGCTTCGAACTTGCCATTCTCCTGCCTCAGCCTGCCAAGCCCTGGAATTAAGGGCACACACTAGTGTGCCCAGCACTACAGCTGCATTTTTAAAAGACATTTTTAAATTAAAACCAAACGAGCCCTCCTTCCCATTGCCTGTTGGGAGATGGCGGGTTGGATGGTGGCTGGATGTAATTCTCTCGTGCATTTGAGCTCTTCGCAAAAGAGCCTTTTCTTGCTCCAAGTGTAACATTTTTCTCACCAGATATTCACTGACTTTGTGCCTTTGGGGTGAGCCACAGGGTCTCACAGAAGCATCTCTGCTTCCACTATTCAGGAGGCAGGCTGCTGTCCCCAGTGGACTGGGCAGTCTTAGCCTTGATCACCCTCACAGATGAGTGTTTGTCAAGCTTTGGGGTGTGAGGCTCCCAGAATGTTATGCAAAATTTCAAAAAGACCCAATTCCCGCCTTTGCAGAGGGTGCCATCCATCCCACATCTGTTAGTTCTTGCCTCTGAACTGCGGGGCTCCAGGGCTGCTCGCTTGCACGGTGGCTGAGTGTTGTGTGTCCGCAGCAGCTGCAGGGCCTTGCTACTCTGCTGAAATGCATCACCATCTCCACAAGAGTGGAGCCCTGTGATAGGCACATCTGACAGGTGGCCCTCCCCCCAGGAGGTGTGAGTTCTGGGGACATGCCCATGAACACCCCTTTGCATCTGGAAGCACAAGTGAGAGGTGGATGCCTGTCCTGGAGCCCAGGCTGCCTCCAGAGGATGCTGAGGCCAGGAAGTTTCCATGCCTCTCCAAGGAGCCCAGCTTCACTGTTGAATCCATCTTTTTCTTCCACATCCTCTCCTTTCCTAAGCCTCAAGTCATCAGTTCTACCTTCCCACCAATTTCTTGCTGAGCTGCTGACAGTGCAGAGAAGGCACCACAGCCTCCTTCCCAAGCCTTGCCAATGGGAATAATGGCTTCTTGGACCACGGGAAGTCTCCTTAGAGGAAGAAGGAATGCCAGTCTGAGTTGGCATTCGCGGGTTTCTGTGTGCTTGCCTTCTGGCTGAATACTTATACCCTACTAAGGGCAACCTCTTCGGGTTGTCTCCTGTCTTCAGAACTGATGCCCTGGGAATGAACCCTCTAACTTCTAAGCCTTTGCTATGGAAAGATCGTGAGTACGAAATCCTGTGCATTGGGAAGCCACACAGCTGTGTGAGTTCGTGGACAGCAGAGAGCTTACTTCTTCCAGGTCACAGCGGACCCCAGTTGGGAAGCCTCACCCCCCCAAGGCAACTTCTGCACCTGTTTGCACAAGCAGCCACTTAGCTGTTGAAGCTCAGGCTGAACCCTGCAGGGGCATGGGGGATGGGGCGCTCCTCTGGCCTAAACTTTAAGTCTTGTGCCAGACCAGTGATTTAAAACATGGGAAAAGCTAGCTCTCTCCAGGAGGGAAGGAAGACACTCCCCCCAAAGAAGAAGAACCTGGCTGTCTTGCCCCAGTCAATTTAGAAGTTGTTTTTGTATTAGGCCAAAAATAAATGTTCTCAATTAGAAGAGCTTCATGGCTATTGGCATTGTTAAAATAATAATCAGCATTCTAGTCTCTAAAGGTATTTTTTTTTTCCGGAGATTTTATTGTTGACAGGTGAAAATGGCTCTGTTTTAGAGGTCATTCCTGAGGATAACTGCTTCTGTTCTGCTGCTCTGAAACTTTCATGTTCCGTCACATGTCACAGTGCTGCTGTGTCTATATCCAACCACTATTGTTGTTGTTGTGTGTGTGTGTGTGTTTTTTAAGAGAAATAAATTCCTCATTGAAAACAGTGCTGGGTTCCTTCCTCCGGCCACGCTCTCACCCATCTCATCTGCAGGACTTTGCCACAGGGTACCCGGGCCCACTGCTACAGCCTCGCCTCAGGTTGACAGCTCCACCCTCTGTGCGCAGGCCTAAGGATGCCATCTGAACTCACCAGGCCACCAGCTTCTGTATCCAAGCCCAGAAGGGTCCCAGCCTCTTGGCACCAACAGGGTGGCAAGAGTCTGGCCTTCACACCTGCCCAGAGGAGTCTCCTATGCCAGTGTAGGCCTGCTGGGCTGGGGGGCTCTTGTGGCTGCTCAGCCTTCACATGGGGCAACCATGGTCTTCTCTTTGGAACTGGACAGAAAGTGGGGCTGGTGGGCAGTGGGGTAGGACAGGAGGAGCAGCCATAGCTGGAAAGGGCCTTTCCTGGGACAGAGAAGGAACCAACAGCCAAGGGTTTACTGAGCATAGCGGACAAGTCTGGGGAGAACATGGAAAGGTATAGGAAAGACTCTGAGCTTGGCATAGGAGCCCCATCAGGGATGGGGAGGACCTTCCCCAGCCTCACAGGGCCCCACCCTTTACCTGGGACTTTCTCCTCCCACACCAATACCCCCACTGCCCAGGCAGCCTCCTGGGCAGAAGCCAGCACCTCTCCTGCACACGGGATTGGAGAGAGACCCTCCAGCCACAGGGACTGCCCACCGAGGATCCCCTCAGCCCACTCACTGTTTACACCACTCTGTCCAGGCAGGTGGGGAGGGCTGGGTGGGAGGAGGTGCCCACCTCTCACCTCCACCACCCTCCTCACTCCAGACAGCATGGGTTGGTCCAGAAGTGCCATTTCCAGTGCAGTCTGGAAGCAGTCACTCAGGGAATCAGAAAGTGCCAGGTGCTCTTCCTCCGGGGGAGTCCCTAGAGGGTTGGAAAACGCCTGCATCTTGCAGACTGTGGAGAGGAGGGGAAGTCAGGCCCTAAGGAGCAGGCCTCAGGCCGCAGAGGTTGGCTCCTGGTTCCATGCCTTGGTGGGAGGCACGGGAAGGAAGTCCATTCTGCTGGCTAGAGAACAGCTCTGGAGTCCCATCCCAGAAGACCGCACCAGAGGCAGGGCAGAGGGCTCGGCTGCCTCACCCTGGCCTCCTGATGAATGAGACCGTGAGTCGCAGGTGTGGGACCATGGGGGGGGGCTGCATTTCTAACAAGATCCTAGATGAAGCCACTGGCCCATGGATTACATGCTGAGGACAGAGACCTGAGAGAGCCCGAGCCAAAGTCAGGCTAAGGCTAGGGTCAAATGACTCTGCTCCCAGAAGCTGGTGCTCTGCTATGGCAGCTCCGGCAAACAGACACGTCTGCCCAGATGCACCTGCTGCCCCAGGATGTTGTAAACATCTGGACCTTCTGACTCCATCAAATGAAGCCATAGAGTAGGGGTCAAGGACACGGGCTTACTTTATCAAAGACCAGAATTCTATCCAGGCTCTGCTGCTTGCTATAAAATGGGAAGAATAACAGTTTTTCCCCAAGAGGTGGGAGTTGGCGGAGCTGAATCGGGGGCAGGGGGCTCAATAAATAGTAGCTGCTAATGTTATTATCGTTCTCCATCGACATCACATTCCTTCTAGAGACTTCTACAGTACACACAAGGTTAGAGAAGGGAAAGAGGGGTTGGGGTCACTCTGGAGAGTTTCCAGACATGCCAAGTTGACCCTTAAGACCCCCACAGGTGGCCCTAGGAATCTGCACCTGTGGAATCCAGGCAAGGACCTTCTCTGCCCTGCTTCTCCTCAGTGCCAGGGCCAGGCATGTGGCACACACTCTGCCTCCAGTAATCTGGCGCCTATAATGTTTGCTGAGCACTATTGTTTGTTCCGATGAGGTTCTGCCGAAGCCAGCGACAAATGTTCTTTCAAATTAGCAGAAACTTGAATAATGAAGCTGGGAACAGCTCCATTCCAACACTCAGCCATGAGCCCAACCCCAGAATGAGGCTTTCTGGCTTGTCCTGTGTCCCTGATCATTTCTAGTGTTACTATTTTATGGGGTGAGGCTAGAGGGTGAAGGAGGGACGATGAAGTTCTTTAAAACATCTCCCCGGTGCCAGGCCCACTGTCCAGTGAGCAAGCACATTGTCAGATGTGAAGTAGGATCATGTGGTAAATGACATTATTAGGCCAGACCTTTAAAGCACCCTCAAACCTCGGGTCCTGGCATTTCCCATCTGAGCCGTGCTGTCTCTCTGAAGGCCTTGCCTTTGGTCTGGGAAAAAACAATGTCTTTGCTGGAGTCTTTTAAACTCCAGTGGTTAAGTTCACCAGAGGCCTGAGGCCTGGGTTTGAATCCCAACTTCTCTGCTTATGTCCCTGGGAGAGATTAGCCAATTGTTTCCTTTCCCTAAGCCTCGATTTCCTAATTTGCAAATGGGTATAGTAAGAAGACGCGCTCTCACTAGGTGATTGAGATGGTTAGTTGAGGTGATGCACATGAAGTGCGTATTCATGCTTGACAGACAGGAAGCACTCCAGATCCATGAAGGATGACTGTGTGTTCCACACTGGGTGGTTACAATGGACACTTGCTTTCTCACCAGTTGGAAGCTGGAAGGCCAAGACTGATAGACAAGTAAGTGCAGAGGGCAGCAGCTCTGCAAGCCGTCTAGGAATTGGAAGTTTCCTGGGACAGCCAGGGGCTGCCAAGCCTGAGCGATGGACTTTTCTCCGTGGGGCTGGGAGGAGGCAGAGGATCTTCATCCCAGACTGCCCTCCTTAGAAGGAAGGCTCCTACAGGCCTCCAGAGAGAGCTTTTATCTTAGCTAAGACTGTTTCTGCTAATGGGCTTCTGGGGGAGAAAAACAATTCTTTTTCTGCCCTCAGGTTCTCAGCTGGACACTGTGAATTAGACTGCAAAAGGCAGATTAGCAAGAGCCCAGGACCCAGAAGTGCATTAGCACGTGGCCACGCTGAGATGAGCAACAGGAAGGGGTGGTTAGCACTGGCTTGACCAAGCATCTTAACCAAGGAACTCTACATTGTCAGAGAGGCACCAAGACAAAGGAAAAGGACTTTGCAACTCCAGGGGTGGCAAGTCTAGAGGAGGCAGATTCACGCAAACCCGCTTAGGTCAGGCCGGTTAGCAGGACTCCTCTGGTGCCAGCCCCCTGGGTCTAACGTGGTCTACGGTGATTACCTTCTGTCCTTCCTGGTGGAGAGGGGAGGGAGACACCTTTGTAAATGGAGTCCTGTTTCGGGCACACAGGGGGAAGGCAGTGAGATTTCCTTATACCTTCTTCTCCATTGCTTTCAGCTCCAAATAATCCCCTCACCAAAGCAGTGCCATCTGCTCTCCTTTGGATTTTCCCCTTATAACTATGACGTGAACAGTTAGTGTTTCCTCCCTACCCCCTGTCTCAGGGGTTTGCCCCAAAGTGGAAGCTAATACATCCTCAGATGGTCCCCATCCAGAGACTGGGCTGCAGTGAGAGGGGACACCACAGACCAATTTACCGGCCAGAAATAGAGAAAAAAAAATTCCATCTCCAGGTTCCTGCCAGAGTCTCTAACAACAGACGCCATGAGGCCTCAGCGGTGCTGCAGCTTGCCCAGCCTGGTCCTGATCCAGTCCATCTCTCCCCACCCAGAGCTCTCTAGGTCTCTGATGGGCGCTGGAGGAAGAAATGGAAGCTGAGCGGCAGCAGCATGTAAATACCAATCCAGAGGGAGGAGTCTGGGAACTGACGGGCATGACTAGTACCCATGGGGGAGGGGGATTCCAGGAGCCCCTGCAGATACCCAAATCCTCCCAAGCCACACCAAAGGGTATAGTATTTGCATATAACCCACATACACCCTCCCATATGATTTACGTAATCTCTAGATTTTTAAAAATACCTAATACAATGTAAATGCCGTGCAAATAGTTGTTAAATGGTATTACTTAAAGAAAAAGAAAAGAAAAACTTCTGTATATGTTTAGTACACTTTTTTCCCCAAATATTTTCAATCTGCGGGTACAGAGGGCCGACTATCAGTTGCATTAAAAAACATTCCCTGCTGGAGTTGCTCGCAGCTGCCTGGCGGACCCCTGCTCTCTGGGAGACAGGGTGGGGGGTGGCAGCAATTGATTACTCACCTCAAGCTTGGGGATGGGGGGTGGGATATGGAGAGGGTGTCTGGGAGAACTTCCTGAGGACCCTCCATGGAGGATGAAAACCCACCAGGGGGGTGACACTGAAGCCCCTGGGGAGAATGTTCTAAGAAGCTCAGACCCTTCTGAAGGTAGCTCTTGGGTTGCCCTAGAGGTAAAGGTAGCGAGATTGAAAAACGCCAACCTACTGTCGTGGCTCAATGCTTGAAAATCATGGAGGCAGAAGTCCAATGGCCCTGCATGACTTACTCCCAAAGGAGGGCCAACCTTGAAACAAGGAAATAAGGCTCAGACCTGGGACCCAAAGCCTCCAGGGCCCTCATCAGCATCCAGGAGGAGGATCCGATGTGTATCTCACAGTATCACCATGCGAGGCCCATTTCTGTCTCTTACTGAGAGGTGTTCCACTGTGTGATGCCCACAATTTGCTGCTCAACCCAGCTGGTTGTTACTTGAGCTGTTATTAATATGTCAGTATCATGAGTGAAGTGGCTGTGACACTGCGGAAAAAATCTTTGGACATAAGCCTTCCCTTCTTTCTAGGAATAGAATTGGCAGGTCCTCGGGAAAGTGTGTACCGTGCTTGGCTTCATCAGGAACTACTAAACTCTCTTCCCAAGTGGATTCCTACCAGCATCGGGGACAGCGGGTTCCACAGTGCCCACCTCCTTGCCCAGCTTTTATCATCTAAGGCAGTGTAGCTTTGTTTGACTTTTTCATTTGCTACTAATTGAGGGTTCAAATTTCTTGAGATTATATGATGACTTTATATCTTGTCTGGCAGAGATGAAAATAAATCTCTCCAGAAGAATATATAACCCTGAAGGTCGTAGGTTTTCGTTGCTCTGTAGGACATTAACCAGTTTTAGTCTAATACAA